TTTTTTTTTCAGTACTGGAGATTGAACTCAGGACCCTATTTGCCAGGCAAGCACTTATTCTACTGAGCTATCTCCCTGGCCTAAGAGATTCTTTACTGATTGTGCCTATTTAGGATTGCCTGCTTATGAATACCTCTCATATCTAAGTAGGTGCTTTAGACCACTGAGCCATCTCACCAGCCCTACCTCTCATATCTAGATAGCTTTATGTGTCCCAACATTTCAAAAATTCTTCTGTTATTATCTGTGGTGGATTATCAACTGGTATTCAGCTTTTTACACTCAGCTGAACTAAACCAGGGTGCTGTGTGTCGGAGGCCCACTTGGGGATTATTGCTAGCAGCATCAGAGACAGAACTCGAGAAGGTATTGAGAGGTTTGTTAGGGAAACTATTGGTAGCTGTTAGGGAGTTTCTGGGTCTCCTGGGCTATTCTGCTGGAGGACCTTGTCACACTGGCTTTCATGGTGCATTTGGTTATTCTAGTCAGAGGAGGAACTCTGGCCTTTGTTGTTGCTGAGAATGGCTGTGGTCCACTTTTGGGGCGGAGGCCTCTGGTCTTTACCTTGAGCATCCTTTCCTGGCTCCAGAGAAGATGGTACACAGCTCAGTCTTTCAGAGAAGCTTGTCATGTTGGCTTTGCTGATGGGAACTTGGCTTTCCTCATCTTCAGAGAAGCTCAGGACCTCACTGTCGCTGAGGATGGCTGTGATACCTTTGAGCACAGCTTTGCGTCTTACTTTGAGCATTGCTTCCTGGCTCCAGCTCAGACCCCTCAGCTGCTAGCACAGATCCTTCATTGCGCTGGCACAGACTTTCTAGCCCCCACCACTGACCTTTGGGCCTTCCCAGCATAGATCCGTGAAGCAGGTCATGGGCTCTAGGCTTCCAATTAGATTTGTGGGAGACATTGTTATGGGCTCTAGGTCTTCAGCTGGATTCACGCAGGACACTGCTGTGGGATCCAGGCCTTCATCTGGATTCTTTGGTCTTTATTTATTTATTTTTTTGGCAGAACCAGGGATTGAACTCAGGCCCTTGCGCTTGCCAGGGAAGCGCTTATTCCATCTCCCCAGCCTTCTTTGGTCTTTAGAGTGTGGGCAGATTTCCTTTACTCTTTGTATATGATTCTTTGAGTTATTCATTATGAAATGATCTTATAAAATATGTATCCTGGTGGCCGGTGAGATAGCTCAGTGAACTAAAGCACCTGCTTAGGCAACCTTAGGCAAGCTCAGGGACCGCAGTTCGATTTCTTGCACCACATGCTGCGCCTTCCCTGTACCTAGGGCAGGCTGAGCCAGCCAAAGTCCAGGCATAGTGGCATATGGCTGTAATCCCAGCACTGGGGAGGCTGAAAACAGGAGGATCACTGTGAGTATGAGCTGCATAGCAAGGCCCTATAACAAATAAATAAATAAGTAAATAAATTATTTTTTTTAAAAAAAGGAAGGTCTGAAATTCTGTTTTCTGCACAATCCTTTCCACTGGTGAAGATTTCTGAGTTTTTTGATTTGCCTTCTAGGCTATTCAGTTTTAGATTCCCAATTCTTTAAACAGTACAATATATTTAGCCTGTGCCTTTCTCCTGTAAAACAGGTCTTTGTCCTGTAAATAGGCTCTTGCCTTTCACCTGTAAATTGAACCCCCCCTTTTCTCTCTTTACTACAAATTCACAAATTCTACAGATCTCCACCCCAAGATCACATAAAAAAATCCCCAAACACAGACCACTGTGGGCCTATCTTTTGAATGCCCACACTCTATTTTCTCCAAGTGAGGATTTTAAATGCTGTTTAGTAAACCTTCTTATGCCTGTCACTATTGCATCTTTTTTTAAAAAAAAATTTATAAAAAAAAATAAAATAAATATTTATTTATTTATTTATTTAGTGTGTGTGTGGCCAGTTCATCCCACCAGGGGGCGGGGCTGGCTGGCATGTGGTGCTGGGGATTGAACCGCGGGCCCCGGGCCTTCGCTTAGCTTGTTCTAAGTAGATGCTTTAGACCACTGAGCCATCTCACCAGCCCCACTATTGCATCTTGAAGACATTTTTCTGTGATGATAGATAGGTCCTACTTATCCTACAGGTGGGCTAGTTGACATTCTCATCTTGTCTTAAGGAATTTCCTTGGACCCCATTGTGTGGCATCATTTGGTGAGGCAGCTAAAGGTAGACTGAGGGGCCAGGGAGATAGCTCAGTAGAGTAAGTGCTTGCCTGGCAAATGCAAAGGCCTGCCTTCAATCCCTGGTTCCACCAAAATAAATAAATAAATAAATAAATAAATGTAAATTGAGGTATGAACTCTGGTAACTTCAGCCCAATGCTTTGTCTTTCTTTAACTGCTTGTCCTCTAATTGCATTGCCTTTTCTTGCTGCAAACTTTACAGCTTCAGTTTTCCCTTTTTGTCAGACTCCCAAGTCCCTAGAAAATGAGGGTTTATATATAAAAGCACTGAAGATAAAAGGCATTTTCTCCCTCTGACTAGAAATGCAAAGAGGTGTCAGGAGGCACACACCAGGGCAAGCAGGAGCCCCCCTCAGGGCAATCAGTACACCCCATTCCTGGATTAGATGGAACTAAAACTTGCTCCTGAGAGAGGCACAAAGACTACCCCTCAAGTGTCTGGAACAAGTTTTCACACATCAGTGTAAGAAATAGTCTTTTTAAGCCAGGCATGGCAGTACATGTAATCCCAGCCGTTGGAAGGCTGAGGCAGGAGGATCATTGAGAGTCTGAGACCAGAAGGGCTACAAAGACCAGCCTGAACTGCACAGTGAGATCCTGTCTCAAAAAGACGAAAAAAAGGGGCTGGCGAGATGGCTCAGTGGTCTAAAGCACCTACATGGAACAAGCTTGGCAAAGCACAGGAACCATGGTTTGATCCCCCAGCACCACATGCCAGCCAGCCC